ATCAGGTATGCATGCCAAGTTTGTTACAGATCCATTGGCTTTTGGGTTCACAATGCTCTTTGGATGTAGGTGAACTACAACTCTCCCAAATAAAGGTGAATTTTCCACAAAGACCTCCAGTATTTTTTTATGGCAATGAGGGTTCTGTCTGCTAAGTTTGGTCTAATTCCCATTTTGGTGGGGTTAAGAGTGCTCTTTGATTGCAGGTGAACTATAAATCCCAGTACCTACAACTCTCCCCCAAAATCATCAATATTCCAATTTGGGCATATCAGGTATATGTGCTAAGTTTGGTCCAGATCCATCATTGTTGGGGTTCATAGTACGCTCTGGATGTAGGTGAACTACAACGTCTATAAATCCTTCCAAAGACCTCCAGTATGTTTCAGTGGTCATGAGGGTTCTGTGTGCCAAGAACCCTCATGACCATCACTGGTGGGGTTCAGAGTGCTCTTTGATTGCAGGTGAACTATAAATCCCAGTATATACAACTCCTATAAATCAAGGTGAATTCTTCCCAAAGCTCTCCAGTATTTTTTGTTGGTCATGGGGGTTCTGTGTGCCAAATGTAGTCCAGGTCCATTGTCAGTGGGGGTCACAGTGCTCTGTCTTGATGCAGGGTGAACTACAAAATCCACCATGTTGAGTTAGTCCCCCAACCCCCTCCACAGTATGTTCAGTTGCTAATTGATTCCTCTCTGCTGTGTGCCATAGGAAAAGGTAGGATAGAGTTAAGGCAGTGGGCAGGGTCATGCAAATAACACACCAATTGAGGGAGTCAGAAACACATCAACTCTAGGATGAAATTGTCCCCGTAGGAAAGCCTTCATTTGGGTGATGGGCAGTATAGTGTTCTATTATGTGTATATAGAATATATGTATATAAAAGATGTCAATAGAGCAGTAGGCAGGGAGGCAAGTGTGTCACAATGCCATTACATTGGGATTGGTGCCATTACATTGGGATTGGGAATTCCTGCTCTTGGGCTGTAACGCTCAGCATTCTGCAGCAATTGCTATGCTCACCAGGGCTGAAGGAAAGCACTTTCAGACCCCATCTACACTGCCATATACTGCAGTTTCAAACTGGTCGAAGTAGATTCATATATTGCAGTTCAATGCAGCTACAATGAGTCTACACAGACCATGTAATGCAATTTCAAATTGCAGTATATGGCAATGAAGTTGGAGCCTCGGTTAATGTAAATAATCAAAGCCTAGCCATCTTTGAAATGCCACATGTGGACAGCTAGGTATAGATTTGGAACTTCAGCAATGCAACAACTTAAACTTGGATGCAAAGGATAGGAGCCAGCCTTCTTGAAAGCAGAGCTAAGATTGCACACCTCAGCTCAGGGATAGGGTCCTCCTCCAGGTTAGGCCCAGAACACAAGAAGTCTCCAGGTGTGAACCCCAGAAGGTGCTATGCAGCCAGAAACATGGAATCTTCAGAGTTAAAAAAGACCACAAAGCAATCCTGAAAAATGACCTGTCAATCGCCATTTAAAGACTTCCAAAGATGGAGAATCCACCACTTTCAGGAGCATCATTCAGTCATTCTGCCTTCTTGTTCTCCTCCATAAGTGATTTTTCTGCCTTGATAGCCTTCTTAAGTAGCATAGCAAAGTAATTTGTTATTTTCTAAATGAGCTTCCATCCGTTCAGATGACAGCTGAGCTACTATTCATGCTTAACCAGGCATGTCAACAAGTAGCTCGTAATACCTGCATGTCAGTATCCACCAAACTTAATTTATTCAATAATGAACAACCAACTTGATGTAATATCTTATTTAACCCAGAGGGGAGAATTATGCAGCCCTCCAGATGGTGCTGAATTGGGAATTCCAGAAGTCTTTTATCAGCAGAGGCAGCAGGATGAGGAATGACGGGGAAACTACACATTTCACACCCTTTTTTGAACCATTAGTAACAGGAACCTCATTTGGTGATTAGGAAGCAGTAATCAGTCTTTCTGACTAAAGTTACGAGTATAGTCATTTGAGAAAAGAAGAAACGAGACATGCTTCTTATCTGCACTTCTGATGACTGCAAAAACATGGAATGAGAAGACTATGCTGGGAAAATATGTAATTGATCAGTTCAACTCGCAACAAGTTAATCACCATTGTTTCAATTCACAACTCTCTATATATAAAAGTTAAAGCATGTTCGCATGACTCTTTGAACCAGAAAAGGTGATTGCTAGGTGAAGTGGCCCTCTGTGATGTCACGGGGTGACAAGGGGATGGGAGGGAGGAAGGAAAGAAAAAAGCCACAAAGAGAGCCTGCCCACCCTTGCTAGAGTGTTGGTAAGCCTTCTCAGAGCTGGAGAAGGGGGAAAGTCAGTGGGCAGACAAGTATACTCAGCTAAAGAATGGAAAATGGAATGTCATAGAATCATAGAGTTGGAAGAGACCACATGGGTCACCTAGTCCAACCCCCTGCCATGCAGGAAAAGCATAATCAAAGTATCCCTGACAGATAACCATTCAGCTTCTGTTTAAAAGCTTCCACTGCACTTTGAGTCAGAGAATTCCACTGCTGAACAGCCTGTACAGTCAGAAAGTTCTTCCTAATGTTCAGGTGGAATCTCCTCTCCTGTATTTGAACCCATTGCTCCGAGTCCTAGTTTCAAGGGCAGCAGAAAACAAGTCTGCTCCCTCTTCCTTATGACACCATTTCACATATTTATATGTAGTGGACAGTAAGAGATTTAAATCAAACCTTTAAAATGTGGAATAAATATTGTAACTGGAGGTCAGCTGCTACCAACAATGCTGTGGATTTTGAGGATGTATAAATGGAGGGTGAAAGGAAGAAAGTGTCAAGAGGAAAGCGCCTCAAGCTAACCCTTGTCAGGACCGCCTTCCATCTGGAAATCTATGTCCTCATTGCGAAAGACTACATGGGTCCACAATAGGTCTCTACAGTCACATATGGACCCAAGGCCAAGACAATCACAGGCCCCTTCCACACAGCTGTATAAAATCCACATTGAACTAGATTATATGGCAGCGTAGACTCAGACAATCCAGTTCAAAGCAGATATTGTGGATTTTGGAAAGAGCTAAAAACTTGGTCCTTTCTGTAGGCCTTTGATAATGTTTTCAACAAGATGATATGGTTTTTATATATGTTTTATATTGTTATGTTGATTGTTTTTAATCGCACTTTTATGAATGCATGCCATCGAATCGTGCCAATCTGTAACCTGCCTTGAGTCGCCATATGCTTGAGAAACGCGGGCTATAGATGTCGTAAATAAATAATAAAGAAATCTTTTAGATAGCAGCCAGACAACTATCTTTAGCCAGGGAAGGCTAGATTGACTGTATGGATTTTTAATTAACAACTATTGCCATATTTTATCGATTCTATTGCTCTTGTTAATTTTATATGTCTGCTTTTAAATGTGTTGTTGGTTTTAATGTTGATATATTGCATTTTATATGTTGTATGGGAGATGGTGGTAGGCTATAATAAAATATTATTAGTATTATTACTATTATTATCTGCCTTGATATTCAGGGTTATATGGCTGTGTGGAAGGGCCCATACTTGGCCTCAAGTTATTGCCTATGATGATGACATATGTTAGTAGTTCATATAAAACTTGGCATGGTATCAACATCCCCTTTCAATATGTGCAGTGTGACTACGGAATGGCCTTGGACTCTGACTCTAGATGACGTGATTCATTGAAATGGATTTTTATTATGTTTTTTTAAATTTTAAACCATGTTTGTAGTTGGATACTAGCCGTCCCCTGCCACACGTTGCTGTGGCCCAGTCTGTGTATATATATGTGCGTGCATATATATGTGTGTGTGTGTGTATGTATGTGTGTTTGTGTATATATGTGGTTTTGAGCATGCATTTTAATGTTTTTTGTTTTGTTTTGGGGCTTTTTAAGTCTCTTCCGCTGTGTTTTTCAGTGTTTTTATGAGTGATGGTCACTCATTGGCCTAATAGGTATATTGTGTCCAAATTTGGTTTCAATTCATCCAGTGGTTTTTGAACCACTGTTAATCCCACAAAAAACTGTTAATCCCACAAAAAACATTACATTTTTATTTATATAGATTGTATGTTGTGAGCCACCTTAAGTCCCCCTCAAGGTAGAAAGGTGAGATATAAATAAGGTAAATAAAAAAGGAGTTCCTGGTGGCACAGTGGGTTAAACCACTGAGCTGCTGAACTTACTAGCCTTAATGTTGCAGGTTCGAATCTGGGGAGTGAGCTCCTGCTGTTAGGCCCAGCTTCTGCCAACCTAGAAGTTTGAAAACATGCAAATGTGAATAGATCAATAGGTACCGCTCCGGCGGGAAGGTATGGGCACTCCATTCAGTCATGCTGACCACATGACCTTGGAGGTGTCTACGGACAATGCGCTCTTCGGCTTAGAAATGGAGATGAGCAGCAACCCTCAGAGTTGGGCACGACTGGACTTTATGTCAGGGGAAAACCTTTACTACCTTTAACTAAGTCAGGGGTCCTCAAACTTTTTAAACAGAGGGCCAGGTCACAGTGCCTCAAACTGTTGGAGGGCCGGATTATAATTTGAAAAAAATATGAATGAATTCCTATGCACACTGCACATATCTTATTTGTAGTGCAAAAAACACTTAAAAACAATACAATAATTAAAATGAAGAACAATTTTAACAAATACATAAACTTATTAGTATTTCAATGGGAAGTGTGGGCCTGCTTTTGCCTGATGAGATAGGATTGTTGTTGTTATTGTGTGCTTTCAAGTCCTTTCGGACTTACGTTGACCGCGAGTGTGGGCCTGGTAAATGACCTTGGAGGGCTGTATCTGGCCCCCGGGCCTTAGTTTGAGGAACCTTGAACTAAGTAAATAAATAAATATATACATACATACATTTCAGTCAATGGAAGTCTCAAGTGACTGCTCTTCCTGGGACACAGCAGAGCCCAATCCGTCCTGCAGCTGTGGGGCTATGAAGAGGAATGCTTCAGAGTCATTGCTCTTACCTGGAGAACATATCGACATTCCCTGCACCAGCTCCTGGTGCGCATTCCCAGGTAGTCTCCCCGGGGAAGGGAGAGGGGTGAGCGCGCGCTGTGCCCCTGCCTCGCGCGCGGGAGGGAAGGAGGGAAAGGCGACCCCCCATTGGCTGCGGGGAGTCCTCGGCTCCGCCCCTTTCCTCCGCGCGAGGCGGGCCGCGCAGGGCTGGGCGCAGAAGGGCTCCAGCCGCGGTGGCAGAAGGCAGCAGCCTAGCTCTCGCGCCCGCTCTCTCCCTCTCCCCAGGTAGGCACCGCGGGATGGACGGGGGAATTCAGGCAGACTGGGAGGGGCAAAAAGGCGGGCGAAACAACTCACCTGAATTTTCTCAGACGAGGAGCCCTCAGAGTCCTTCCTCTGACAAGTCTCCTCAACCTCCTGGCGCTCGCGGACGGTGTCCCACCCGTGTTGAGGGGGGACCTGGTGCCTTAAGGCTGGGTAGGCGTGAGTTTCAATTGACACTCGTGCGTTTTGCAGGCGGACAGCTTGGCGTCCCTCTCGACCGCTTTTTCTGCCTCAGCGCCTCCGCTCTTTGCGGCTTCGCTGGGGCTGAATCCACACGGCTTGCAGATTCCAGGGCCGTGTGGATCCAGTTCAGTCTGCATTCTGAAACTGCAGCGTTATAGGGCTATGCGGATCCAACCTGAGGCCACTTCTATACTGCCATCTGATTATTATATTTGGGTTGTTGTGAGTTTTCCAGGCTGTCTGGCCATATTCCAGAAGTATTCTCTCCTGATGTTTCGCCTACATCTATGGCAGGCATCCCCAGAGGTTGTGAGTTGTTGTGAGTTTTCCAGACTGTATGGCTATGTTCCAGAAGCATTCTCTCCTGACATTTCTCCTGCATCTATGGCAGGCATCTTCAGAGGTTGTAAGTTGTTGTGAATCTTCCAGACTGTCTGACCATGTTCCAGAAGCATTCTCTCCTGACATTTCTCCTGCATCTATGGCAGGCATCCCCAGCGGTTGTGAGTTGTTGTGAGTTTTCCAGACTCTGTGGCAATGTTCTGAAAGCATTCTCTCCTGACATTTCGCCTGCATCTATGGCAGGCATCCCCAGAGGTTGTGAGTTGTTGTGAGTTTTCCAGACTGTATGGCTATGTTCCGGAAGCATTCTCTCCTGACATTTCGCCTGCATCTATGGCAGGCATCTTCAGAGGTTGTAAGTTGTGAGTTTTCCAGACTGTCTGGCCATGTTCCAGAAGCATTCTCTCCTGATGTTTCGCCTACATCTATGGCAGGCATCCCCAGAGGTTGTGAGTTGTTGTGAGTTTTCCAGACTCTATGGCTATGTTCCAGAAGCATTCGCCCTGACATTTCGCCTGCATCTATGGCAGGCATCCCCAGAGGTTGGCAGGCATCCCCACAGGCCTTGGCCATTGTAAGCCGCATCGAGTCCTTCTGGAGATTTTGCAGGGTATAAATAAAGTTAATAATAATAATAATAATTGTGAGTTGTGAGTTTTCCAGATTGTATGGCTATGGTCTGGAAGCATTCTCCCCTGACATTTTGCCTGCATCTAAGGCAAGGCATCCCTAGAAGTTGTGAGATCTCACAACCGCTGAGAATGTTTGCCCTAAATGCAGGCAAAACATCAGGAGAGAATGCTTCTGGAACATGGCCATACAGCCTGGAAAACTCACAACAACCAAGTGATTCTGACCATGAAAGCCTTTGAAATATATTATTATATTTATTTATTTATACCCTGCTTTATCTCCCCAAAGGGGATTCAAAGCGGCTTGACATAAAAAGCATTGGCATAAAAATGTATACAATCCAGATTATCTGATTTGAACTGGATTGTATGGCAGTGTCAACCCGGGGGTGAATGTAAATAAAAGAGAGGGAAATGTATAGTACATGTCTATATAACTGTATTTTTTTCTCAAATAAAAGTTTATTAATAAAATAAAATAAGTAATCCAGTTCAGAACAGATAATCTGGATTTCATAAGGCAGTATAGGGATACCTGGCCCATCGCTGGAGGTCAAAGTTAGAGTCAATCCCATAGAAGAAATGTCAGAAACTGCATAGTTTTCACATGTGGCAATGAGAGCAGAGAATGTCCTCTTCAAACATCCCTCATCTTAAACCTTATCAAGGGGAGACCTGTGGCACGTGGAAGCTTCCAGACCTTAGGTTAAAAACCAAAACTACTTAATGTATTGCGTTGTCGAAGGCTTTCATGGCAGGAATCACTGGGTTGCTGTGAGTTTTCCAGGCTGTGTAGCTGTGTTTCAGAACGCTTCTGGAACATGGCCATATAGCCTGGAAAACTCACAGCAACCCAGTTAATGTGTTGTCGAAACTTTCACAGCTGGAATCACTGGGGTGTTGTGTGGTTTCCGGGCTGTCCGGCCGTATTCTAGCAGCATTTTCTCCTGGTGTTTCGCCTGCATCTGTGGCTGGCATCTTCAGCGGGTCTGAAGTGGAGTATATATACCTGTGGAATGTCCAGCGCAGGAGAAGAAAACCATTCTCTGTTAACCAATGTCAAGGGTGCAGTTAGCAAGCTTGATTTGCAACCGACCGGAAGCACTCAGATGTCTGCCTGTTGTGTCTTCTTGCAGGGTGTAGCCAGACCTTGTGGGGCCCAAAAGGAGGCCCTCCAATCCAGCCGAAGGGGCAGCATGCATCTGGAGGATGGCTGAGGCTGGCCACCACAGCAGCACCACAATCACTGCCCAGGGTGGCTCCTCTGGGCAAGGAATGCCTGCAGTGTGGGGAGCACTGCTTTGCTTTTTCCTGGTGGCAACTGTCAGCAGCCTCCCCTCAGCCCGACCATCTGCTTCGGACCCTGAAAACAGGTTTACCAGAGAGCCATCAGGTAAGAAAGTTTGTGGAACAGAAGAGCTATTTCCGCCCTTCGCTGTGAGCCATGTGCTGTTTCTTGCTGGGATCTCTAGCTATCCTTTTACCTTCCTGTCCCTTTGCCATCAACAGCCCTTGCATTCAGTCTGTAAAATGTACTGTGTTACAGACAAGGTAGCACGAAGGAACTGCTCCTGTTTGGCTGGCTAGTCTACTAGTTATCTGCTCCTCCTGTGCATGCCCCAGTTTCAAGTTGGGAGAAACATAGATTACTTTTGCAACTGATGGAATCATGCTGGAGTTTGGAAACATTTCCTGTTCCTGATTTGAAAGTGTTTTTTCCTATTTAATTGTACAATACTTATTTTGAAAGTCATTGTTATACTTCAGAAACTTTGTTTTTGTGTCTGCCAGAAACTGTGTTGAATTGGTTGAGACTGTGAAAATGCAGAATGTACTGCAGGATGTTCCACAAAACAAAGCTTTTGCAGTTGAATAAACTTTTCCCATGTTTTTATGATAGAATCAATTTGGACATGGCATTTATTACCCAAGAAGAAAAAATGTGTTACATAATATCAATGTAACAGTTTAGTGATAGAAGGTCAGTCTTTTGTACAGTAAAGGTTCCCCTCGACATTAAGTCTAGTCAAGTCCGAGTCGGGGCAGGAGGTGTGCTCATCTCCATTTCTAAGCTGAAGAGCTGGCGTTATCCACAGATGCCTCCTAGGTCATGTGGCCAGCATGAATGCATGGAGTGCCCTTACCTTCCCTAAGGCCGTTGAATCCATGACAGAGAATCTGTGAACATAGAAGGCCAACTAAATATATGTTTTACTTTCTGGTTGGTGCTCTTTAGTTTTTATGCCATTTGGGTCCCCAGATATTATTGAATGACAATGCATTTTGGATTATCTGCCATGCGGACTGGGAATAATAGGGATTGCAGCCCAACAGCACTTGTGGCTCTGAGGTTGGGGAAAAGTCAAAAGACATTTTAAAGTCAGGCATCATATACAAAAGCCTTGTAACTAAATTCAAACCCCACTCTCCTGACTAAATAGACCAAACTGGAGTCTTCTAATGCTGCTATATCACAATTATCCTCAGCTTTAGTCATGATGTCTAATGCTGAGGAATACAGAAGTTATAGTCCAGCATCTGAATTGCCATATAAAATGACATGACAAGATATTTTGACTCATGGGCCTTGAGTTTGACACATGCGCTTTAAAGCCTTTGCAATTCACTTTCAAATGGCAGCAGTCATCCCCATGCATGCACACATACACATTTTGAACAATTTCACCAATGTTACTGTGCACGCTTTCTCTTTTGCTTCTGTGGAAATAAAATGCTAGTGTCCCCTTCTGCCTTGCTGTAGGGGTGGGAGTTGGGGAGATGTGGTGGCTCTAGCTGTACACCTCTTCTTGTATGAAGTAGCTGAAGTTTGTAGCTTCTCTGAGAAAAGGTAGTCCTTATTCTGCTTTGTGTTGTGAATTGTTGTTGTAAAAGAATAATGAATTATTTTTCTGGTATTCACTGTATGTGCACACACTCATCACTTGTCCTTTTCTAAGGTTCGGGTAAATTCCTCTTCCCTTCACAGTGGTCTGAAAAGTAGTATCTTGTCAGTTTGCAAACTAATTAATCCAGCAGAAATATTTCAGTACCAGGCTGGCCATTGGTCAAACTCAAGGCTCTTCCAGGCAAGCCTTATATCCCAGGATATGATACCAGGTTTTCTGCTTTAAACTGGGTTATACGAATCTGGGAGAAACAGAAAACCTGGGATCCAATCCTGGAAAATAGGGCCTGTCTGGAAGGGCCCTCAGCCCCACCCCCTATAACAGTTACTTTTAAACATCTAAGTAGCTCAGGCCCGTAGCCAGGATTTTGATTCGGGGGGGGGGGGGGGGGGGGCTGAGTCTGAGTGAGGAAGGATCTACCCTAGCAAACCTTAAGTGATTTCTGTTTTTGAAACAGTGAATGTTCAAACCATGCAAAAATAAGCGTTTTCTTCTTTTAAATTGTTAAATTCTTCATTAAACAACACCTACCATAAATGCAACGCAACTTATCACGGCCCTTGCTAGCACGCAAACTATAGGCTGCTGGTCCTCAGAAATCTTTCAGGAAAGAAAGAAACAGGTGCAGCCAATGGACACAAATGTACTACCAGGTGTACTACCAGATTCTGGCTCCGCTCTTTAATATCCTGAGAAGCACTTCCTTAATGTGAGACCATTTTCTGATATCATGTGTGACGCATTTGGATTTTGTAGTGTGATACCTTTCAGTATTATATTGAAGCTTATAAAGGAAGCAATGGAGAGGCAAAATTGTGCTGTTGTGCTTGGAAAAACCGAACATTGAAATAAGCCAGATTGTAGATATTTGTGCTTAATGTTTTACATGCGCAACTGTCTTTGTGCACTGTATTGCCAACTATTGTAGCAAGCTGCTTAAACTAGGGAAGTGTTTATTACAATCTCCAAAAGTTTCCTTTCAGTGCACAGTAACAGTTAGAAGCAACAATCTTTAACACAAAGGCTATTTGGGGAAAAAATATCAGTCGACAAAATTTAGTGTATTTCGACAAGCACTGTAAGCATATATCACTAGGAAAAAACCCAGTTTGACACAGTGAGGCGTTACTGTTTGGTAAATGGAGCTTCACAGGACAGTGATGCCCTTTTATTGGGAAAACAATAAAAAGTGTAAGAAAGTAGAATCCAGTTTCTCCCCCACCCCTTTCTTTCATCCTCAAATTAGCATATCTGGGGGGAAAGCTGACATATTTTTTGTTATAAAAATAAAACAGCTAGGGTAAATATATTCCATAGCAACTCAGAATAGGGGCAGTGTTTCTACATCATATCTGGTTAGAGCCCTAATTTTGCTTTCTGGAGGTTTTGGTAAAATGCTAGGTTCCTTTTGGTACATTTTCTTAGCCATGCTTGAAGCATTATGATGATGTGCCAGCAGATTTTAAAGAATTTTCTTTCTTAGTCCTAGTGAATTAATTTTGATTGGAATTACTTAGATTTAGGTAAAGGTAAAGGTTTCCCCTGACATTAAGTCTAGTCATGTCTGACTCTGGGGGGTGGTCCCATCTCCATTTCAAAGCCAAAGAGCTGACGTTGTCTGTAGAAACCTTCAAGGTCATGTGGCCAACATGTCTGTATGGAGCGCCGTTACCTTGCTGCTGGAGCAGTACTCACATTTGCATGTTTTCAGACTACTAGGTTGGCAGGAGCTGGGGCTAACAGCAGGAGCTCACTCCGCTCCCTGGATTCGAACCGCCAACTTTTTGGTCAGCAAGTTCAGCAGCTCAGTGCTTTAACCTGTTGCACCATGGAGGTCTCCTAGATTTAGATTAGCACTGATTCAAAGTGTTTTTTTTAAAAAAAAAATTGTAAACATAACATATAGCATTAAAATCTTTTGTGTGTTATTGTTGTTGGGACAGAAATCCCATATTTATTTTGGAAATAAATCTCATTGCTAGAATAGAATTTAGACATAAGCATTTCTAAAGCAGGGGTTTCCCCTGCCTCAGTTCCCATATTGCTGCCACCATTGGAAGTACAATAAAACTCATACTGACCTCTATTAATGAATGGTCTAATTTTTTTCAAACTTTTGACAGAATCTTAGTAGCATTAGAGTCTTCAAAAATGTGTTTGATGGAAGCAGTTTTAGCTTTTTTTCTATTTCTAGAGAGGTGTAACTGGCCACCTTTGTGAACTCAGTTCCATATCATGCAGTGAACTGGCTTCTTAACAAATGATTGTGCTTTTTAAGATATGCTCATAAATGTAAATACAACAAACATGTCACATCATGAGACAGGATTAAGTGTGGCAAGTATATATGAGGCAATGAGCCTGGATTTTCTGCTGTATAAAATAGTCTCCCATATGAACAATTTTACATTCTGTATTCATTTATGATTCTGTTCAGTCATGTATTTCATTCTCAATAAATGTGGCAAAGACTTGGGAACGCAAGAGTTCTGTTCACTTAGTTGAACCTGGTGTAATCGTAGTTACTAGGTAAATGTAAAGGCTTTCCCCTGACATTAAGTCTTCGTCTCTGACTCTGGGGGTTGGTGCTCATCTCCACTTCTAAGATGAAGAGCCGGCGTTGTCTGTAGACATCTCCAAGGTCATGTGGCCAGCATGACTGCTGGAGTCCCGTTACCTTCCCATTACCTTCCCGCTGACAGCAGGAGCTCACACCGCTCCCTGGATTTGAACCCGCAACCTTTTGGTCAACAAATTTAGTAGCTCATCGGTTTAACCCACTGTGCCACTGGGGGTCCAATATGCAGAGTATTATCTAGTGTAAAGTGCAACACATGAATGAAAACTGTCTGTAAAAGAAAATCTTATTGCTTACCCACTCAGGCAAGCTTTACCCCATTGGTAGGTATTGGTGTCATTGTGTGTCAGTGAAGATAGCTTGTGATGTTTGCCTCATCATTCCTTATTTTTTCAATGAATCAAATGTATTAATAGTATCTTTGAGAAAAATCTGCGTTGATATGTATAAAAAAACAAATTCAGTGCTAAATGCGTCCTTTTAAATATCTGAACGACATGTCACAATTAAATGCTTTCTGCTGGTCAAATGGACCATGGGGTATTGGTTTATTGGTTTATTACTGAGGCTTGTTGTTCAACAGCTTTCGCATTTAACCGTCCAAGACCTTATTTCCTATAAAGGGACTTGGAAGCATTTTTCTCTAGTGATCTAATTCTTCACACAGGACTCTGAAGGTTGTAACAGCTACTGCCTTGTGTTTCTGCTCAGCTCCATAAAATACACATTGAAGAGAGGAATTCTGGAAGTATGTGTATGTTTGCTCATATGAAGACTAGCGAATAGTGGCGGCAGTGCAAATTCTAATATATCTACAGGGAGGTGTTCTCTGTTCGCTGGAAGAAGGCAGATGGTGGGGTTGCCGCTGAATAGAATCCAAACTGAAAATACGGAGGGCCTCATCTGGAC